CCCCAGGCTGGGCCAGGGCAGCTCAGGGTGGATTTTGGGAATATCCCTCCTGGAAAGGTTCTCCAGCCCTGGCACAGCTGCCCAGGGCAGTGCTGAGTCCCCATCCCTGGAGGGTTTAAAAGCCCTGTGGATGGCACTTGGGGATGTGGGTAGTGGTGGCCTTGGCAGTGCTGGGGGATGGTTGGACTTGGTGGTCTGATAGGGCTTTTCCAACCTAAAGGATTTTGTGATTCTCAGTCCTCCTGGAGAGGTTCTCCAGCCCTGGCACAGCTGGCCAGAACAGTGCTGAGTCCCCATCCCTGGAGGGTTTAAAAGCCCTGTGGATGGCACTTGGGCATGTGGGTAGTGGTGGCCTTGGCAGTGCTGGGGGATGGTTGGACTTGGTGGTCTGCTAGGGCTTTTCCAACATAAACAATTTTGTGATTCTCAGACGTTGTGAGGGGATGGGAATGTGCTGCTGTGTTTTGAATTGACAAGTCATGACAGCATGTTTATAGGTACCGTTGGGAGAAAAATCAACCACAAAGGGAACTCAGTTTTATTTGTCATTAATTTTGAATTGCTTCAACAGATGTTTGCTGGGAGCTGCTTTAACCTGCTTAATTTGTCTCTGTGTAAAGCAAAACAGATAGCCTCAATTAAGAGACTGATTAGCAAGTTCTTTAATGACTTTCAATAGTTTTAGTCATTATTGCTGATACAGAATCCTGAATCCTGAATCCTGGGAGCTGGGATTTAGTTATTGTGTAAAAGTAAAACACATTGTAATTGTATGTGTACAGGATTTTTTTTTTTTTTTTTTTTTGGTAGGGAATGGTGCCTTGGGGTGTTCACCATTAACAGGTTTAACTCTAATGAATGGCATCTCTGGCTGACTGCCAGCAGACACATCTCCAAGGCTGGCAGGGGTGACAGGCTGTCATCTCAAAGGTGCATATCCCAGGCCCCCACAGGCATTCCCTGCTCTCCTGTGTGCAGGTGCCAGGATCAGCTCCTCTGCTGGCAGCTTGTCTTGCACAGCTGCTGGAGTTTTCCCTGGTGCCATCCCATCTCGCTGCCCCACAGCACACACCAGCTGAAGGCTGCTCTCTGCTGCTGTCCCTGACACCAGGCTGAAGGGGCTGTTTTACCTGCCTGTTACCTGGCCGCCCCCGGCCTTGGAGCCATGGAGAGGTTTGCCTGGGAAGGGCTGGTCCAGCCCAACAGTGCACACTTCATCTAAGTGCTGCAGTGCCCAAAAACCAGTGAGGTGAAATGCTGGGTTGGTGCTGATTTCACCGGGGCAGCAGCTGCTGAGGAGAGAGACTGATTTAATCAGATGTGGAGCTGACGCTGTGCTGGCTCCTGCCTGCACTCCTTGGGCAGAGCTTCTCCCTGCACCTCCAGAGTGGGTTTGGAAGCCCTGATGACACGAGCTGGGACACAGTGCTGGGAGCACGGAGCTGCAGGCTCACAGTGATCCACTGCATCACCCAGGAAAGGCCAGGCTGGTGAATCCTCCCCTGTGTGCTGACAGCACAGAACACTTACAGCTCCCTTCTTGGCTCTCAGGTAGGAGCCGCGTCTATTTTTCCAGATTTATCAAAGTCAGTATCCCTTGACTTACTGAAATCCATTACTTCTCCCGGCACATCTGGCTTCTCAAGCATCCTGTGGCCATTGGCAGTGCCACACCAGTGCTGGTGGCACTGACTGGGCACGTCCGTGGGGCTCCTTCACTGAGCCTGGATGCTGAAGGACCTGTTGTGTCTCACAGCCCTGCCATGTCTGGGACTGTCCTTTGGTTTATGTCAAACACAAACACTCCAAGTTTCCTATTCAGTGGGAATGCAGCTTGCACTCTGAGGGCAGCCAAATTTTTTTTAAAATAAATAATTGTTTTGAGGGCCACCATTCAAAAACAAACAGACAAACATATTGAGAAATTACATGCTGAAATAGTTGCAAGCTGGCTACACAAAACAGCCAATCATTTCTGGAAATCTTGACCAGCAATATTTTGTCCCCGTTTGGCTCCACTCAGCTTACACATCTTAATGCCATGTCCTGGAGCCAATGTGTGCTTTGATCACTGAGAATTAAGTCAATAAATGAATGTAGAGAACTCAGCCAAGGGCAAAAATCAGTCTCTACAGCACTGTGAAAAGGTGTTATTTATTTATTTCTATTGTCACTCAGAGAGTGCTGCCACAGTCACATTGAAAGTTATAAGCCATTTGTGGCTGAAAATTGCATTTTAGGCAGATGAGGCCAGTTTTTCCGGTAAAAAGAGAAAAATAAAGCAAACAGAGGAAAGAAGGTCTGGGAGAAGGAGCCACAGGAAAGCAGTAAATTCCCAAAGAGCAGGGCAAAGTGCTCTGTCCAAATCATCTCACTGAAGGTCCATGGTGAGCAGCAGTTTAGCCCTGGTGAGAGGAGGCGCTCGGTCTGCAGGTGGGGCTGTGAGACGAGGCCCTGGTGATCTCAGTGTGCAGTTACAAATTCAGTTTGGTGATCTGTTCTCAAGCTTTTCTGCCTGGGAAGCTCGGGAGGAAGGTTGTGCTGTGGCAAGGGGAGGGTCTTTGGCAGAGGCTCGTGGTGGCCCCGCTCTGGGTGGCCCAAGCTGCAGTGTCCAGCACCACCAGCAGCCTCTGCAGTGGCAATGCAAACAGGAGTGACAATGATCCTTCCCAGGTGCCACTAAACTGTGCCACTGCCTTCAGAGCAGCATGGGAGCAGGCAAGTTTTAATCCAGGAAATGTTTATAGCCAAACCTTGTTTCATTTTCATTTTAATATGTGAAGCTCTCTGCTGGTGTGCAAAACTCCTTGAGTTGTTGCAGATGTGCAATGTGGATATAATAATCTCTGGAAATGTGTTTTGTGTAAGTGATTATTTTCAAGGGTAAAAGAAGAAAACAAACTTCCAGTTCTGGTTGGGATTTTGGTTTCACCAGTCGAAGCTCTTTTTCTTCTAGGACATCATAAACAATCTGCTCAACTGTGGAAGGACCTGTCAAGAGATATCTGTGAAGACGTGAGGTAACGAGTGGAACAGCACACAGGCGCTGTCCCTCAGGCTGAGCTCGTTAAAAGGCACCACTGACATACATGCTACAGGTTTTTAATGGAGTTTTATTTGTGATTGTTACATCAACACCTACCACGCTTACAGCGGAAGAGAGACCCAGAAGAATTGATTTCTTCTGCAGGTGGTTTTGAGTCTCTCTGTTTTGAGCAGCTAACACTTTGAGTTTTTTTCTCTCTGTGTCTCAGTCAGGCCATTGCTCTTCCTTCTGCACATTGAGTCCCTCCCTAAGGCCAGCACTCATGACAAGGACTGTGCATCAAGGGTGTGGGCAAGGGCTCTGCTGGTCTGGAGCCACAGGTTCCCTCAGTTTTTAAAGACAGTGTTACAGGGAGGGTGAAAGTTATTTTTTTCAGCAGGGCAATGGGATGACAAGGCAGTAAAAGTGGTGACCGAGACCTGACAGTAATCATGGTGTACCATGTACCTGGAATAACCTGATCCGAACATTCCCCAGCTGCTGGTTCTAAGGGAAGGCTGCAGGTCAGAAACACACTTCAAACCCTGCAGCTCTGCAGGGGCACAGCCCTGAGCCCTGGCCAGCTCTTCACACCAGAGGGAGGGCACCTTCCCCTGGGGGTGCTGGTGTGGACTGACACAAGCCCCACCTCTGAGTGGCATGGCAGCTTGGAGGAGTCAGCACCAGGCTGAGCGGGACAGGTGACATCGGAAAGCAGGAAGAGACACAGGCATAGCTGGTCATTAGCTTTAAAATGTCCTAAAAAAGCCTCCATTTTTTCATTCGAGGATTATTTCTAACAACGGAATGGCAGCTGATGGTTTTGCTTGGATTTGCTCTGGCAGGGGCCCTCATGAGGACAGGCTGGCGATGGGGAGCCCTCCCACCAGGCGTGTGTGTGCAAGGCTGGAGCCAGAGAGCCGGGGCAGGGCTGTGCCCCTGGCAGGGCACGGCAAGGGGGCCGTGCCAGCCCTGGGGTCACAGCCCTCGTGTCCCTCCGTGCAGCCCGGGCACTGGGAATGGCTGCCAGGGTCTCTGCAGCCCCACCCGGGAAGGAGCCACGTCTGGAACGGGGTGCAGCTGGGGAGGGCTGCAACTCCACACTATTTTTGCTGTTTATCTGGTCAGTGCCAGTCTGTTGTGTGGGCAGATTGTGCTTGTCTCAAGGTATTTGGAGTGGATAATCTGATCAGTGCCAGTCCGTTCTTGGCTTCTCTGTCCACCTGCTGACTCCCTTGTGTCACCCTTCTGGTGCTTCATCCATCTGTCAAGAATTTACTTACAAAATGCATTAAAATAAATCACTGGGATTTTATGTGCACAGGGATCCTGTTTCCAGCATCTCAAACCCCCAAAAATACTCGTGTCTGTAGTAACAGTGTTGTGAAGTCCTGCACTAGTGATTTACAGGAATGCCATGATGCCTGGGGAGCAGCCTTTTGACATTCAGATTTGGTGGTTTTCAGGGCTCATTTTATACCTTCTTGTTGAGTAATACAGGTTTTCAGTGCATGTGCTGGGCACTGTTATCAAAGAAATATATTCAGGTGCAGAGCACAGCAACAGCGTCCATAGAATTATTGCCTGACTGAAGAAGTTCATAGCTGAGACCTGGGGCTACAGAAATCCTACAGATTCAGGCATTTATCACTTTCTGGGCTGTTGATTTGTCATGGGGAAGAACAGAGTGACCCTTCGAGGAGGGAGCTGACTGACCCAGGGATTAAGATCTTTGAATGTTATGTCCAGATAGTGAGCAATGTGATACAAAAGGATTCTAATGCGTTCAGCACAGCCAAACACAGCAAGACCTGAACAAACCCCAAGGACACCAGGACAGCCAACCTAAAATACAGGTCAATGGTTTCAGATTTGGTGTAAGTTCTTTTTGCCTAATTAATCTATATCTGTCTGTATGTAAATGAGAGGGAGAGGCAGAAAGCTGACTGCTGCTGAAAGGTCCCTGAGGCTGAAAGAAAACACCTCCAGCTTGTGGCTAATTATTTTTTTCCTCTGGAAGATAAGCAAACATGGAGTTTATTTGACCTGTGCACCTTGTACCAGACTCTCTTTCCAAATACTGCTCTTTAAAACAGCAATTAAAATATTAGAGACAGGGAAGAGAATGCTGCTGGCAGCAGGAAGGAGACGAGCATGGCCTGAAATCCCAGCTGCTGCATTGAGGTGGTCAGGGCCTGTGGCTGTGCCCCTGCAAGACGTGGGCTGAGTTTCCAGCCTTGCTGATCCTGCCCAGGTCTATGACATCTGCTGTTTCCCCACTGAGAGCCCAAGCCTGGGAGTGTGTAGCTGAAGGAGACTCATCAGTGCAGCACGAGGTTCCGTGTCCCATTCTCCAGGGCAGCCAGGCACGGCCCAAGCTGGGACCCAGGGCTGTGACTGCCTCTGTCTCACTCACTGCTCTCCATCCCTCCCCAAGGTGAGCTGTAATCCTCAGGGAGCTGTCAGGATATCTGATTTATGCAAGAATCTGTAATAAACTGGCAACAGTTATTTCTGTAGCTAATGGGAATGTAAATTTTCAGATAACATATGTTAGTAATGATAAGCAAAACCTCTGATAAGAACACCCCCCACCAGAGAAGGAAACTCTGCTGTGCCAGCTGCAGTGCTGCTGCCCCTTGCTGTCAGGAGCTTCCCTGAAGGATGAATCTGTGGTGTAGAAGTGGCTACTGAGAGTGAAAGTGTCTGTCTTGACAGAGACCTTGTTCCTCCCAAGCAGGTGAGTTGGTTGTGCCTGTGTGTGGTGTCTCCATTTAGCCTGGAATGAGGCAGAAAAGGGCCTTTCTGATTTACATTCTGATTTACCTTTCTGATTTACATTCTGATTTACTTTTCTGATATACATTCTGTTGCATCTCTGGGAAATAAATCTGAAGATGCAATGCCCAGGCGGCGCTCACGGCGATGACGGTGAGAGCTGTGGCACACAGCTGCTCCCACCAGTGACTGACTGGGGCCCAGGGGCTCCAGATGGGGCTTTGATCATCTATGGATGGCTCCGAAATGCACCGATTTGCTCCCTCCATCCTAAAGGCTTCATAACAAATTCATGGTCTCAAGTCTTCAGAGTGAGGTTAAGATGTGACTGACTGCTGCTGAGCAAATGGCTTTGCTTTGTGGTGTTTCTATTAGGCTTGAAAGCAAGTATCACTGCCTGGCCTAACAGGAGGTTTATATTTCATGTAATGGAGGTATGTGCATTTGTAATGCACTGGTGGAATTTGTCATAGGAGCATCCAGACCTCTCGAACACGCACTAAATTTAACTTTAAAGCAATGCTAATTCGGGGGGAAAAAACCAGTATGCATCATCTGTCGTCAATCTGATAGTCTGTGATATGTGTAACCAATTGTTCTTATTTACATTAATTTGCATTGTGAAAAGCAATTTTACAGTTTCAGTCAGACTTAATAGGCAATTTGCAGCTCGCTGCCTAATGGCGCAGTTACTTAAGCCTGCCCCGGGGTGCTTTCGAGACCTGAGAGGAGACTAAACCTTTTAAATGTTCAATTGAACAGCTTAAAAAGTCAGGAAGTCCTCAGCTGTTAGCTCTGGCTCCTGCCTGCCTTGTCATATTTGACATTGTTGCTTCAGATGCCCTCTGATTCGGGTATGTTCTGCCCTAGCCAGCCGAAGCGCTGATCTGATGCTGCAGAACATCGTGGTACCAGTGGCTCCCAGCCTGCAGGGACACTGTGCTCGGGGCAGGGCAAGGTAAGAGTGTCCCCCAAACCCCGTGCTGTGGCATTTGTGGGTCACTGGATCTGCTACCTGTGTTTAATGACTGAATTTGCACCGAGGCGTCTCACCTCAGTGACCCATTTCTGCATTTACAGACACATGAACCGCCCTGGGTAGGTGTGATAAAAGCAAATTCTACAAGATGATTGAATGAAAACCCTTAATTTGCAGCAATTTTTCTTCAGGTTGGATGTTTATGGGCAAATTGTAAAATAAGCTACAACTGGGTAAGCAGCAGAGGCTGTTGTGATTTCAGCACCCTCCAGCACTGCCTAAGAAGGGTCTCTGCCCCATCCAGGAGATTGTCTTTGTTCTAAGAGTTGGTTTCCTTGCTGCAGAGGTGCTTTGGGAAAGCTGTGAGCAGGTCCTGTGGGGAAGGGCTCTGTCCCTGTGCAGTACAGATGAGGGGGGAAGTAACAAATACCTTCTCAAAAGCTGGAGCACCACTGAAGTCCTTACTCTGGAAACGAGTGGAGGTCACAGGAAGTCTGAAGTTACATATTGTATGAAGAATGCAATGAACACGAGACTGAAGCAGGCCACTGGTGGTGGCCACTGGTCATGACCATGGTTTTTCTCTGGCTTTGTACATGGTGGGTGATGTGAAATCACAGAATCCTCACTGTTGGAAAAGACCTTCGAGGTCATCCAGTCCAGCTGTAACCCACCACCACCATAGTCACCCCTAAACCATACCCACAAATGCCTCTTGGCAGCTCCAACAAGAGCGAGTTTTGTGAGAATTGCACAAGAGCTGGGCTGTTTGGTCATGCCTCTACTAATGGCTGATGGAGAGCTGGGATTGTCACACACCCCTGTGACACCACTGGTGTGTTTGAGGTCACTGTGACTCAATGACTGTGCCAGTGCTGTGGTGGGACAGGGACCCTCTGCCACACTCAGCAGTGCTTGCTCCCAGCGTGCTTCCAGACGTTGAGGTATTGATTTTGTACCCATGCTGATGTCACATGAAGATATGCCCCAGTGAACTAATTCAGTACCCCCACCTGCTTCTTTAGGAGCTTGCTTTATCCCTGCAAGGGGGTTTTACTTCCAAAGATGTTGCAATTCACTTCACAGCAGAGTACCAGAGAGATTCCAGAGCAGTGCTACAGCTCTGTGCTCCTGGGCATATCTGGTGTTTGCAGCATTGTTCGGAGGAGCATGGAGAGATAGGCAGGGGAAGTTCCTGATCAAATCATTCCCTGTCCTCACTCACACAGTCCCTTATCTACAATTAGCTCAAAGGGTTTGAGGCTGTGAATATCCCTGCCACTTTAGTGAAAAATACCTAAAGTAGAATTATGCTTTTATAACATTTTTCAACTAGATCTGGCTAGTTTGAGGCCATCTGAGCTTTGTGATGCATGGAGGTGGTGTAGGTAGCCGAGACAATCTGGCACTGTCTATATTTGTACTTCAGGATAGCAGAGATCCAACCAATTTTCAGTTTTAAACTTTTTTTTTTTTATGATGACCTTGCTGTTTTCTTATGGATACCTAATTAAAAAGCATGAAAGTTCAGAAGCCAAAGTGTGAGAGGTTGAAACCAGCTCATTTAAATGAGAGGTTTGGGACATACTCACAGCACTAGCCTGAATCTTTATTGCCTTTTGGAGGTTCACTTGTAACGCAGCTGATATTTTTAGCTTTTTGTGGGAAATAGTGACAATTGCATCTGCACATGGTGAGACCTGTGTTCCGTGGCTGAAAGCAGTGTTAGCCCTGGGGCAGGAAGATGGAAGAAGGCTGGAGCTCCTCTTCTTCCACCCAGGCTCAGACAGCCTTGGCCAAGGTCTGCCATGCCCCAGTGATGATTCACTGCAGCCCATGACTCTCACAGGTGACTTTGCTGCTGTCCTCTGACACCAGCTCCTCTGGCAATCCTGCTGCAGTGTTTGCCACAAAACCCACCAGGAATAATATTTTTTTCCACCTGCTCAGGATTGTTTCTCTGCACTGACCAAGAAGGCCCTACCTAGAGAAAAAGGCTGTCACCTGAGATTGCCATCCACTGCTGAGGTTTGGGTTGCTGCTCCCCACTCTGGGGTGTTCACTCACTGTCCCAGTGGTGCTGGAAGCAGTTGCTGCTGTTGGCCACACGTTTTAGAAGCAGGATCTGGCGAAGCTGCCACCCAGCCTGTGTTCTGCTGCTTGGACACCCGGCCCTCTGCATGGCTCTGGAAGGCAGATGGGTCTTATGTTCTGGAGTCTGTAGTCTCTAAAATGCAGAGGCAGCATTTAAGAAAAAACCCAAAATAATGCAGGGTTTAGATACACTTGTACTCTTTTTACCTTTCAATCAAGGACTGACAGGGACAATTTCTAGTTTGCAGCACAGTGCAGACACAAAGCTGTTGGCTAACCTTTCATACACAGCAGCCTGCAGATACAGGATGGCACGTTATGGGCTCATACTCCTGTTCCTGTGAAGATGACTTGCTGCATCGTAGCCTTCTGGTAAAGGACACTGGGCTTTTCATCTTTCTTTGATTTTTGAAGACGAGTTTCATCAGCTGAGCTGCAAACCCTCTGGTTCATGCTGAACACTGAGTACATTTCTTAAAGCGTAGAGGAATGCTCAGGGAAGCCATTAGTCTATTAATCACTTGGGTGTATAATGACCTTCATGCCTGTCTCTTGCAGGGTTGGCCATGGCTGCCTGCACGGTGACACCAGGGAGTGTTTGTCCCCAGCCGGGTGAGAAGCAGACACGTGCTCTCCGGAGGTGGGCACAGAGGAACAGCACCCACAGAGAATGGGACTGGTGTGCAGAGCCACCAAAACACAGAACTGGATCAGCAGAGCCACCAAAGCACAGAACTGGATCAGCAGTGAGGTGCTGTGGAAGAGGGCATGGTGCCAGCAGTGCCCAGCAGGCTGGTGCTGGCACAGCGAGCCCCAGTGCCACGTGTGTCCCTCCCTGCAGGGCCAGGGCCATGGGATGAGCCAGCACGGAGAGCTCTGCACCAGCCAGAGGAGGTGACATTGTTCTTTAAGGCACTGAGACACACAGAGAGGGGTCTGGCACTTCGATGTACTGAAATTAATCTTGTGCAGATTCACAGTGGTACCCTGGGCACACACAGGTCCAGGCAGGGGCACTGGGGGCAGGAGGGGACAGGCAATACCTGTGTGTACTAAAATCAGCATGGCATCGAGCACAGGGTCACTCAGACAAGGCTGGCTGTGGCCAGATCACTTGCTTCTGTCTTGAGGAGGAATGCATGGAGGTGCTGCTGTAATACAGCCTGTGTGAGCTGTGTAGTGGTAGAAAAACACTGGTGAATTCATCCTGAGTGGTTCTGATACACTGAGAATCCTGGTCCCACTGTGATTTACTTTTCTTTCCCATACATGGAGCTGCATCCTCCCCAGATAACTCCAGTGTCTACTCTGAAGGTTCTTTGTTTTCCTCTTTGTTTCCTCCCTGCTAGACACTGAAACAGAGAGATGCCTCCATCAGCTCTCTTGGCAAGGCTCCTTGCCTGTTCTCGGAACACCCACACCCGAGCAGCTTGTCTGTGGGTTTTCAGTGAACTGCTGGGGAAGCTGCTTTGTGACAAAAGTATGATTAATGATTGCTTTTGCATGTTTCTTATAAATGAGATGCTCTGTCACCAAATAAATACACAAATAAATGGGCTGGGTGTAAAAGAACATGTTTTTCACCAAAAATGACATCCTTAGTTGTAAATTTTAACAGATGTCATGAAACCAAAGATATTATAATCTATTACAAAACCCCTTTGAATTCTATTTTAATTAACTGGCAAAGCCATCAGAACTCTTGGAGAGAAAATGATATGTGCATGTATCTCAGGAATCTCTTGAATGTGATCAGGAGGATGTGATTGGCATGGCTGGAAGATGAAGTGCCGGGGAATAGAAGTCGAGAGCAGGCGCTGCTGTCACAAAGCATAGCTGATACTTAGCAAAGGAACTCTGGCATGGAAAGCAACTGAGAAAAAATTGGTGCCTTAGAACCCCTTTGTTCTCCAGCAGCAACAGGGGAAGGCGCTGCGGCTGAGCCAGCACTCGGAGCCCCTCTGCAGCCAGGCTGGGTTAAGCAGCTCAGTTAACCTGCAGTTTAGGTCAAAAGGAACAACACGAAAATTTAGAGTTTGACCAGTGCTATGAACAGGGTGTAAGGGTTGGCTCATGCAAATGAGGAGGAGTTATTAAGTGTGGTGGGAAGAAGTTGTGATAAAGTTTATTGTTCTTTTGACACGGAGTTTTGTTGTCCCAGTTTGGTTTTGAGCCCTTTTCTGAGCGGGGACACTGCTGGGAGGCTGGGCAGGGTGACAGCTCACCTGCACCAGGTGTGAGAGGGGCTCCACCAATGAGGGGCACGGAGGGACTGACTGACGGGCCTTGGGAGGGGCCAGAGCTGCTTATGCAGATGAGGCCACGCCCACAGGAGGAGCTAGTGTACATATATGGGCAAAGCCACCAGCTGTGGGTGGTGCCAGAGGCCATATAAGGACTGGCCATGAATTTTAATGCCACTGTTGCAACCTTGGGCCTATAAAATGCGGAGATGCCATGTTGTGCACTGAGCCTCTTGTGGGCAGGAGCCCTGCCGAGCTGCCAGCACCGTCTCCCTTTTGCTTTGTGTTTTTAATTGGTTCTTTGTACAATTTTTATTACTCCTTCCTGCCTGGGGTCTGAGTTGTTCCTAGCATCAGTGAGAAATGATTGTGACTTTGTTCCAGCAGGGCTGGAAGGAAGCAAGCGCCACGGCTGTGGCATCAGCCAGGAGGCTCTGCCGTCCTTTGGAGTCCGATCCTCACGCGTTCAGCCTGGGCCTGGGGGAGCCCCACACCGTTCCTGCCGCTGGGAAATGCCCGGAGAGCCTGTCCCTGCTGCCAGGCAGGGCTGCCAGCCCCTGTGCCACGGTGGGAGCCGGGCAGGGCCCAGCACCGCGCGCCGCCTGGGCTTCCCCGGCCTCCGTTTGCAGCGCGTGTGCCACTTGCTGTCCCCGTCTAAATCGGGTATTCTGAACGATGTCTTCAGTACATTTTACTTCTAATGTGTCCCCCTTGTGTTAGAAAATACGCTTTTTAGAGATGATCGCATCTTCTGAATGACTGTGTCAGCTGCTTAGCTGGGAAGTGAAGTGCCTAGAAAAATGGGATCCTGCAGCCTTCCAGGGAAAGGGTGGGAAGTCCCTTCCTCCTGCTCTGAGGCCACTCTCAAAAAGATGCCCAGGTTTTAGCCCTGTGTTTATCTCAACAACAGTTATTCCAGAGCTTCCCAAGCTTTTGGTACTTACAATAAATATTTCTAATGCAACTCTAGAGCACCCAAAGTAAACACGTCAAGCTTGGCAGACAGCTTGTATAAACCTGCTCTGTTCAATCATAAGGTCAAACTGAATAAATTTCCACCTTCTTCAAAGAAAATTGTGAGTGAATGTTGAGGCTGAAGGGATTTTAACTTCCTTGACAGGGAAGCTTTAGTTACATCAAGGAACAATGAGCAGTTGAAAGATGCAATTTTGGTTATAAAAGGACTGCAGCAAGTACATATTGAAAGACAAAATAATTCTTGCTATTCACCACACCATAATATTTAAATACATACGGCATTTATATAGTAAGGCTTATTTCTAGAGTCAGCTGCTGGCTCTGAAATTTAGTCCCCACACAGCCTGTCAGATCCTTGAGTTTCCCAGGAAGGGAAGAGCTGTGCAGGAACCTGTGTTCTCTGGCAGAGCTGTCACCCTCTTCTAGAGCCATAGGTGGTAGTAGATGGAGCTCTGGGGATGGGGAGGTCACTGCAGGGTGTTTAGAGAGCAAAGGACTATTTTGTGTCTGTTTAGAGACTTTTCTCTATTTATTGGTGTGTGTTTTTCAGCAGCTGGGTAATGGGCCTCAGAAAAAAAGTGTTGTTTAAGGAAAATAGCAGTGGTTTGGGGGGAAATAACTGAATCAAAATTTCTGGGAAGCCATGGCTGTTCCTTAGGCATTGAAATGTATCTGCTGCTAAGAGCAAAGCAATTTTTTCTAATTCCAAAATCCCAGTTCGCAAGATGCTAAATCATCCTCAGGCTTAACACAACAGTCTCTTGGCAACTGCAGATGCTTATCTTGAAAGATTTGCTTTAACAACAGATTGAATTCTCAGAAAAGAGGCCAAACATAAAGATGTTAGAAATCAAAGCGAAAATCCAAAAGGATTTTGAGGCTTGATTTGGTTAGGCATCAAAATGTTTGGATATTTATTTGAAACTTATTCAAGCTGCTTAAATCTAAAACGGGGTAATAGGCTCTATCCCCGCTCGGTGATGGGAGTCTTGGCACATACAGTTCCAAATTGCATTGACCTTTTGGGCTGCCAAATTCTATTGCATTTTCATGTCTAATTTACTGTCCAACCCAGCCCCAAGGTCTCCAGCTTTACTGCTTTTCTAGGTTTCCATTTCCTGTCCAATATGTGCTTTTCCCCCTTGCCTCATAGGTTTCATTTTCCCCTCATTAAGTCCCATATTATTACTCAGAAGTTTAGAGAGTGATACAGGAAATCAGACTGTCTATCCCTTTTGTTATTCTTTCTTCTGTCATTTGCCAGGCTCAGATGCTTCAGAAGACACAGGCATACACAGAAATGGATAATCATGGAGACCTTTATCCACAGGAAAAACTCTTAGTGTGTTTCTGTGCAAGATATTGCAGAGGGGTTTGTATCCTCTTCCACAAAACCCAGCGGAAATAAGTGTTTCACTTTGGCACCGATCTACATATTCATGTTTTTCTGCATCCTGTTAAATATTTGCTCTCAGCAACATCCACTGGCAATGAGTTCTACAGGTTTGTTCTGGAGGTTTTTTGAGTGTCTGTGTCCACAGAGTGTTTCCTCTGATGATACTGGTATCACCTATCTTCTTTGCTGGTTTGCCAATTTCCCAAAGAGGTGTCACTTGTGATTGTCATTAACGTGGTGTCACTTCCTTTGAGTGCCAGGAGGCTGCTGTGCAAGGTGAGCTACAGTGCCCATCCTCCCGTGAACTTTAAAGTGCATTTGTACAAAGGATGTTTTAAAACACATTTTAAAGTATATAGTAGAGGATGGGGAGCTCGGGTGACTCCTTACCAAGGCAGCAAGGTGTGGGATGGGGGTCCCATGTGCTGCTGACCCCTTGCCCCCAGCACGGGTGCCTGTGGGGGCTGTGGGTGCTGTGGGTGCTGTGACAGGCTGTGGGTGCTGTGGGTGCTGTGGGTTCCTGTGGGCTCTGGGGTCAGTCCTGCTGGCTGTGCAGTGGGATGGACTGGACCCAGGTGAGAGCTGGGAGCCCTGCTCCAGGCTGGGGCTTTGGTGCCTGAGTCAGACCCGAGGCTGGGCTTACCTGGGACTTTGCCTCTTCCCTTTATTTATTTCCTTGTTTCAGCCCTTGAGTCTTCTGGGCTGCTGGGACCTTTGCAGATGTTCCCAGCAGCACTTCCTGGCTCGCACTCACTTTCCTTCTCTGTCTTGGGTGCTTTTGATCCATGCACGGGATTTACTGGTTTAATTAATCTAATCTCTGCAGTATCATCCTGCTAACTGAAATAATTCCTGACAATGTTTTGTTGATCCCTGTGACTGCCGAATGTCAGCAAAGTGATGTGACAGCATATGGCAGAATTTCTTATCTGTGATGGCTCAGTTTAGCATTTTAGAGGTTTTTTTTCAAGTCCTTTTCCTTTTAATCAGAGTTGTCTACTTGCTAAGAGATTAGGCTGGTTTTGTGTGTTTCCTCTTTGATAAAACTATGGGATTTAATGTTCTGTGAAATCCCGTTGTGTTCCCACAGACTTTTGCAGGAGCAAACTTCACACACAAATCACTGGGTGTTACTGCAGTGAAAGGCAGTGGTGGGGTGCACACGCTTGAAGTATTAAGAGTTGTTTATTTTTAAATGCTTGCAGAAAGGAAAATGCTCTTTAATTCAGTACCTGTCTGGATCCATCCAGGACTGCTGCCAGCAATGGCAATGCCATGACTTCAGCCCCTCAGGAGTGACATTGCCTCAGCAGTGCCCCATCCCCAGTGAGGTGGGAGCTCTGGTGATGATCCATGGATGTGCTGAGGAGTTTGGATCCCAGTGCCTGGTATTTACAGGGTGCTCCACTTGGACAGGAGCTAGTCCTGTAAAGTTTGATGTCCAAGCCACAAGGGTGCTCACACAGCCCACCCTGGCTATGAACCCGTGGCTCCAGTCAGTTTTGCTGGAAGCAGGGTCAGGCCCAGACCCCGCAGAGGACACAGTGTCACAGCCATCGGTGCTGCCCAGCACTGCAGCACACAGCAGCACCAGTCTGCAGCTCTGCATCTAATCCACCCATCAGCTAAAGTGGATTTGATTCTGAGAAGTCTTATGGACCCCAATAAAGATCAGTAATCATTAAAATTAACCACATGCTGATTTAATCAACATATAGCTTTGTTAATTACCAGCTCTTTCTTCATGTCCATCTGTTTTAAAGATTTTAGTGAACCTGCAGCAGATGTTCATGTAAATATAATAAGCTGGTTGCCACGTAAATATACAATTTTCAGGAGTATTTGTGTATCAGGCACCCAATTTATTTGTGCCGTTGTCAGGATCACATCTTCAGGGGCTTAAATGCAGAACTGATGACTTTGTTATAATCCACACTGAGGCAGTGTCTGCTGCTGGGCCAATCCCCTGCCTGGCCTTGCTCCACACCCCACTCCATGGCTGGGCCCTGCATTCCAGCATTCCAGCGCTGCCCTGGGAACTGCCACCCAAGAATGAAATCAGACCTGTGTATCCATGCTCCCTTCAGGGGTATGGGCAGCAATTTCTGCTCTGGAGGTGAGCATGCTCTGTGGGATTACTTCATGGGTCCTGCCTCTGAGCATGGTGGGTGCAGCCAGCATTCCAGAGTGGATCTCCATCTCCATTCCATTCCATCCCATCCTATCCTATTCCCTGTGCACAACCAACATTCCAGAGTGGCTCTCCATCCCATTATCCCATCCCATCCCATTATCCCAGTATCCCATCATCCCATCCCACCATCCCATTCCCTGTGCATCCCATTCCCATTCCCATTCCCATTCCCCTTGCTGCAGTGGGGTGCAGGGCTCCCAGCAGGCTCTGGTGGGGCCGGGGGCAGTTGCCAGCCCACCCTGGAGCTCAGGTGTGCCCAGGGTTTGTGCTTCCATCCCCATAACCACCTTTCTCCAGGTCCCTCTCCGTGGCAGGGATGTGCCTTTGTGAGGCGAGGTGCAGAGGCTGATCCCGTGCTGCTGGAGAGTGTTTTGGTGCTGCTCGGGCACAGAGGGAAACCTCGGTGTCACTTCCCAGGGTCTGCAGAAAGCTGAGTCTGGAGTCACTGCTCCTTCACACCTGCACTTGGCAACAGCTCTGATCTCTGAGTTCTGCTCTCAGTTTTTAGCTTCTAAGGGAAGGGAGCACAAAATTCAGACTCCTGTGAGTGGCTGGCATGTCACCAGGGCTGAAGCTGTAGCTACAAACCACATACGAGGGAGGGGAGAAGAGCAGCAAGGTGGGCACAAACCTGACACCTCAGCAGGGGTAAATCCATTTCAGCAACAAAAAAGGGATTTGAAGATGAGAGAAAATACTCAGCAATGCAAGTGGGAGTTCATCTAAACCAAGACCATGAATTTTTTTATACAAAGCCACATTTCTACATATTTGTGTAATATTTGCTAGTATTTCCACAGTTTAATTCTGAAAACATGGCCTTTACTGAACACAAAAAATCCTGGAGAAGCTTTTAGTTCCCACCATAATTGCATCTTACTATGTCAAATCTTTAAATTTCAGATGACAGTGTAAATTAATAGCAAGAATAAAATCTTATAATTGAAACTGAAATGAAACTAAATCTTACAGCTGGGACAGTGGCTCGGACTTCAGCCTGAGCGCCTAAGGAATCACTGTGTGCTTTTTAATTCTTCAATTCTTTTCCATAAATGTTTTGACATGCTCAGAAATTTATCTTCATGATTAAGGCTGCTGATCATCACAGACGGATGAGTCCAAAGTCAAAATCTTTACTTACCACTTACCGAGGAATAAATTTCCAGATGAAACTCTACAGTAAGGACCAACTGCTCCTGTTAGTCAGTCACACAAGGCGATGCTTTGCTTCTCACCGTGGTGCAGCCCACGCCTGGCCTGGGGTGCTCAGGCTGAAAGTCTTCAATTTTTAAAATCAAGTAAGGTACTTAATACCTCTTATATTCCTATAACATATAGTCACTCCTATGGCATACATTCTCCTGCCTAGAAGCCCTGGTATCTGTTCATTTCTAAAGAGAATATTTGTATTTTAGACCATATGCATTGATATTTAATAGATTCAGGACCTTCCCTTCTGCATCTGTTTCTCATTCTTTCAGATGTTGCCTTTCCCTTGTGCGCATCATTAGAAGATGGCCTTAAACACAAATAGAGGAGGAGCACCTTGAATTTGTGGATCGGGAGAAGGGGATTGTGGATCGGGAGAAGAGGGTTGTGGATCGGGAGAAGGGGATTGTGGATCGGGGGCAGAGGGTTGTGGATCGGGAGAAAGGGGATTGTGGATTGGGAGAAGAGGGTTGTTGGTCGGGAGAAGAGGGCTGTGGATCGGGAGCAGAGGATTGTGGATCGGGAGAAGAGGACTGTGGATCGGGAGGAGAGGACTGTGGATCGGGAGCAGAGGCTGTCGCGGGTGTGAGGGTGTGTTCGTGCCGGGGGCTGCAGTGGGCAGGGGCCTGTTGGTCGAGAGAAGAGGGTTGTGGATCGGGGGAAGAGGGTTGTGGATCGGGAGCAGAGGGTTGTGGATCGGGAGCAGAGGCTGTCGCGGGTGCGAGGGTGTGTTCGTGCTGGGGGCTGCAGTGGGCAGGGGCTGCCCGGGGCAGAGCAGCCAGCGCCAGCCTGGGCTCGGGGTTCTGGGGGTTCCGCCCTGCTCCCCTTCGGTGCTCCTTGCAAGCACTGCGTTGTGATTTACTGGGATCACGCTAAGCCTCTTGCCTTTGGAGAGGAATTAAAGTCACTGCGGAACATAATAGAGGAAAGATCCATTAGCGTTTCCTTCTTTATAATTCATATCTCTACAATATACTTTAATTTCCTCTAAGCTGCTTGGGTGCCTGCAAAGCTGAGGAGTTCCGAGCTTCCCACGCTGTTTATTGCGGAGGTGGGAATCCTTCCCAGGAATGGTCCCTGCGAGCCCTGGGGTCCCTCCTGGAGCAGCCGTGCCCTTGTAGGGCAGGATTGTCTCTGTGCTGCTGCTGAGCCTGGGAGAACACAGGGTATTTGTGTTTATTCATGCTGCAAATCAGCGCTAATTTCCTGAAGAACCAAATTTATTGGCTTTATTCCTTCATTTGAATAATTACTGCCAATAAATATCTCAATAAGCTGCCACTTACAAAGTCATTTTCATAAAAATTAACGTCCAGCTACTCTGCGGTGATAAACCTCCACGCACAGTGTGTGAAGGCACTGAAATGTTTAGTTACTTTTCCTGATCGAACTGTTTGTTATTTTTGCTCTTGGCTGTTTTTGCATTTTACAAGGTTTAGTTATTTTCCGTTCTTAAATGTTGGGTTATTTTTCGGTTGTTTTACTTTTGGAAGTGTTTGTTCTACGGAAAGCAGCACCGGACTCTTCTGTTAGTTTAACAAACGTATCAGGGGAGGGTTCTAATCGCCACAGAATTGCTTTTCAATTGCCCCGGAGAAAGCCCGTTCCTTTGTTTTGTCTTGGGAAAGATCCTTATCTCTCGGTGCTCCCAGGAAGGAATTTCCATATCAAGAGGCTGTTAGAGGCGCTCCTAGACTTAGAGGTCATCCCAGAAGTCCCAGATAAAAAAGGGCATTAGGTGGTGTGGCACCATCACAACTCAAATCTATTCTATTTTATCGTGTTGGTTTATTTTATTTTTCAGAAAAAGGTGGCTGCGAACTGGAGGAGAGGAGCATGGGTTTAGTGTAGCTTCTCTCCGGGTTTCTGCTTTCTCCAAGCCCCTCCTGTTTGCACACCCCTCTCCTCTGTCTCTTCCCTCTCTGCTCAGCAGCACTTTCCTGACCGGGAGCTTTGCCTGCTTTCCCTGTCCATCTGTCTGTCTGTGGTGCAGATGTGCATCCCCCTGTCCGAGCCCCCGGCTGGGACAGGGAAACAGCCGTGGGTTTCAAATGCAAATACAAATGTGGTTTCCAAAGGAAATTGCTATTTCCATCAGCTGGCACAAGAGATGAATCTGGACAGGACAGCAAGGAACACATTCCAGTATTTGCTCTGGGAAGCAGCAGCTTGCCAGGCCCAGCGATGAGCCAGGGCCGTGGTCACCGTTTGAATTAAAATAACTGGTGAGCACAGCCAAACCCAGCACTTGGAGCCTGGAATATGCAGGGAATTCCCAGTATGAAGCACAGGGAATTACTGTAACCCAGACTGCAGTAACTGTGTTAAAAGAAGCTGGTGACTGTACACAGAAATATCTTATCTCACATGCAACTGAGATTAGAAACTGTAAATGTGATGTAAAATTAAAATGAAGGATCTTCCAGTTGTACACATCATGAACTGGTCCAGTGTCAGCTCCATCCTACCACCCTTGGGAAAACGCTGCTTTTCAGCTCTGCAGAAAGCTCCTTTGGACCTAAGGGGTCACCAGCACCCCTGGGAAGCCCCACTGCTGCTGGGAAATTGCCTCTGGCTGGGGAAAGACCTCATCTCCCTGTGTGCGGATTTAGGCCAGGGCTGTAGAACACTCAGCTTTGGCAAACAGTGCAGCAACTCTTGCGCTGCAGCAGCTGAGCTGAGGTTGAGGCTGTGTTAAATCTTGACATTTTAGGGGAGTAGAATAAATAAAAACTTGCTCACTGTTTCAGCACAGGCTGAGCAGAGCCAGCCAGCTCCCGAAGCCCAGGAATCTGACTACAGGGGAAGCTGTTACGGGCAAGTCAGCTGGGAAATAAACCTAAAAGTCAAGCTAAGCAGCAAAATATTGGATCTGTTTGAAAACGAGCCCACTGTGGCAGTCTGTTTCTGCACGAGGAGGTTGATTATAACTGACATCACGGGACCTCACAGCCACAAAAGCTCCAGCTTCAAGGGAGTTTCCATCCTGGTGGCACTGAACTGTGTCAGCACCGTGTCCCGGTCAGCGAGCACCAGGTGAGAGCTCTCCTCATCCCCTGCAGATGGACCTGGGCACTGAGATGTGGTGTTGTGGTCTCCTCTCCTCTCCTCTCCTCTCCTCTCCTCCTCAGCAGTGCTGAAAGAGGGATTTGCTTACTTGAGTGTGTTTTAGCTCATTACAGAAATAAAGGACTGCATGAAAAAAAGATTACATGCTATGGAATCCCAGCAGAATTCCTGATAAAGTCTGTTTGCATTAGATTTTTCTTTTTTTCTCACATCTTTAGATTGTGACAGATGCACATAACAAAGAAAATGGAGGATCATGTACTGCATCTCTCTCTGCTTATATTTTAATAAGGTTTTGAATGTCATTAAGCCCAAACCTCTCAGTTATTGAGCTGCAGTAGAGGCTGCGATCAGCTGCTTTTGAAATCATAAATCTGCAAAGTACAGCTGGGGAAGCAGCATTTGAAATGGGAAAATACAGTGCCTGTAGGACTAATTATGCTTTTGCAAACTTTATCAAAGTGCTGCTGCTTATTCACAGTTAGCAGCACGAGGAGGGGGTAATGAATGGCAGCAGCTCTGACTCGTGCACACAAACACCCATTTTCCAGGGAAAGGGACAACTGGGGGCTTGTGGTGCATTTTGGCTGTTCAATCTCTCTGCCAGGACAATGGCGAATTGGAGACATGGAAGGTTGAAGGATGCTGGAATCCTGCTCCCCAAATTCCCCTCTCTGGTTCCTGTGGGGCAGGCTGAGGTTTGGCTCCTTGCACAGAGTTACTGATAGCCCTGCAAACGGGATGCTGCTGCCACAGGAATGAGAATCCAAAATGCATATTTCCTAAGTTGCATGTTATTCAGCTCTTCTAGGGAAAGCCCCTTCAAACATATTCCTTTGACCCGTGCAAGGTTTTCCTCAGGTGTGAGAAGTGTGGTGCTTCTCTCAGCAGGTTCCTGCAGGAAGGTAAAATACTGGAATTATTCCAACTGCTGAGTCAAGGCAGAACAGCACGAGGAGAATGTCATGGATCAGCACAGCAGTCCCGTGGAAGAACACCTACATTTGGAGCTATTTTTCTTGCCTAATAAATGTGAAGATGTAAAAAAGTGCTTTTCTGTTTCCTTGTCTGTGTCTGATCTCAGTCAGTGCAATCAGCCAGCAGTGGGGGTCCTATTTGAATAGGAATAATCTGGGATTTATTGATGCTCTTGTGATTTATTTAGGTTTTTTGTGGCTGAGGTTTCTCTTTTTGCCTTCTCGATCCCACCTTTTCCTTTTTACATTGAGAAGTTTTTCCACAGGTAAGCCACCCTGGGGTGTGTCCTGCCCAGGCAGTTCCTAGACACCAGGATTATTGCCAAACCCTGTGTGAGCTTGCCTTCTCAATTCCACCTTTTCCTTTTTACATTGAGACAGTTTTTCCACAGGTAAACCACCCTGGGGTGTGTCCTGCCCAGGCAGTTCCTAGACACCAGGATTATTGCCAAACCCTGTGTGAGGCTGCCCCCAGCCCCATGGAGAGCCCTCGGGGGGCTGTGGGTGCTCAGGGACCCCAGGTGTGGGGTCACCCCGGGCCAAGACAGCTCTTCCTCTTGGCCGGGCAGGAATCACCATTCCAGCCCCGGTGGGACTTGGAATGCCCTCCCTGGGTCCCTCCCTGCCCTGCCCCAGCTGGGCCCTGTGCCAAGGCTGCTCCCACAAACGGTGTCCAGAGCTCTGAGACAAAGAAAACAGGATTTTGTTCATACACTCACCAGCGTTGTGATTTGACACGACTCAGACGGAGGTCACAAGCTGTGCCCAGCTAAAGTGAGAAAATTGTGCTGGCAAATGCTTTAAAAAGCTTAAAACTATTAAATTAGAGACAGAAGATCCTCAAGAGAGGATGGTAATATCTTTATTATTTCCTCGCTTAACTGTTTTGTCACCTCATGCACAGACATGGTTGCAAATTAACTCTCACACTTTTCAAGGCTATGGAAGCTTCTTGAATTAGAAACATCTTTCATCATGAACAGTTTTCATACCAGGCTACTTCAGCTGGTGTTATGTGTCAGCCTGAAAAGGAGCCCCCCAGTAAGAGGCAGGGATGCCTGGGCAGCAGGCTTGGGCTCTGTGCTGCCCACTGGTGCCTGTGCCCAGCCCAGAGCACGGGCTGCTCCTGCAGGAGGGGTTTCAGGAGGCTGAGCTGATAGAGCCGTGGTATTCCAATTAATTTATCACCATGGCCCTGCTCTGCCCCCAGCACTGCCTCCTGAGAGCAGGCTGTGCCAGGAGGTGAGGCAGTGTTTACCATTCACCCCTGAGCTGCAGTTCTAGAGGGGACATGAAGGAATGTGCTTTTCTGGGAGCTTTCAAAGCACTGAGCACGGGGAGGGGCCCTGGAGCAGCTGTTTGGTGCAGGCTCTGGGTGCTCCTCACCTGCACCCTGTGGGGCAGGGCATTGGCAGCAGCAGTGGCTTTCACCTGTGGCTCCAGTGCCTGGAGCTGTCATCTGAGGAGATGGCAGGCAACAAGAGGGCTCATGGGGAATAAACTGGAGCAGTTATGGCCAGAATAAGTACAGCAGAACTACCCACTGGGTGGTGTGTTTGCCTCCTCCCTGCTCTCTCTGGGAGGAGAGCAGGAATGAGCTCGGGTTGAAGCAGTGACAGCATGAGCCAAAGGCAGTCACAGCCACTCTCCAACCAGGAAATGATTTGGTTGGACCTGATGGTCTTGGAGGTCATTTCCAGCCTTAAGGATTGTAATTGAGATGTAAAAGGTGAGAGAGCATGTGGGGTGTTGTGCAGCAGGATGGCACAGAAGGGAAGAGCTGTTTGCTGTGCACTGACAGTGCCCAGGGTACTGCAGGCACGGATGTGACCCAGGCATGCTGAGCAAATACCATATTTTTCTGGAAGTCACACTTATGAAAAAGCCCCTGCTCTGAGCCCCAGAGTCAGGAGAGGATGGGCAATGCAATTTCTTTGCAGGGTGAATAGGGGAATAGGAGGGGAATAGTTACAGGAATGGAGAAGGCAGCAGACAAACACCCATGAATGGTCTCTGGGGGAAGAAGAGGGGACAAATAAGAGAATGAAAGAGTTTGAAGAAGGGAGGGAATGGGACACAGCAGTGTTCCTCCTGCTCCTTCCCCTGTCCCTGGTGTGGTCAGTAAGAGCACATCCCTGGCCTGCAGCTTTAGTCCTTCCTCTTTTGGAAGCAGCTGAAATATTGCTCAGGCAGGTGCAGGCTTATTCTTATTAGTGATGTCAAAAAAGAGCATCACTGAAGCCAATTCACCTGGGAGCAGTGGCTTTGATTTCATGTGTGCCTAACTTTGGGATTCAGACAGATTCTTGTTACTGCCAGCAAGTGCTGTGTGAGCTTGGTTTAGTGGGAAAGCAGGGAGAGAAGGGAGAGGAGCTCAGATTGAAGTCTCTAAAGCTGATTACATGACGGAAGTCTGCCAATCCATCCCAGGGACAGAGTCCTGGTAGCTTTTTATCTGCACAACTAATTTCTACTGCCAGATGGATTTGACTCCCTCGGGGAGCAGAGGAGCTGTTTGTGAGCACTGGTGCAGCTCCTTCAGCCTGCCCAGCCTGGCACTGGCACTGGCACTGCTGTTGCACACTGCAGCTGCAGCGAGTGACAGTCACAGGCGTGTCCGGGTTCACAGCAGATCTCCTGAGAGGAGGATGTGACAAAGCTCAGGGAGAAAGCTGATCGCCTTGGCAGGAGCTCAGAGATGTATCTCAATAGCTGCAAGGCCATGTAGGACACAGGATCTGGTCTTGTGCTTTAAATCCATATCCTGATGCTGAATCTGGGCCAGCTTCCCTTAAACTCTTTCTTTTTAATGCCATCTCATGTTTAATTGCTGAGCTCAACTCACAGTGCTTTGACTCCTTCTGAAGTGCAGCAGCTGGCCATGGGCTCTGCAAGCCTGGCTGTGTAAGAGAATGAGGAAAATGCTGTGGAAAATGGATGAAACATCTGTTGTTTCCATAGTCAGCCAGGGCACTGCTGTGTGTGCAGTGTCACCTGTGACCCGTGCCTTGCAGAGGCAGCTGCAGCAGCTCACAGGGTGGGAACATCCTCACCTCTGCACAAGGGCTGGATGTGGAGCAGGCAGATGGGACCCTCAGTTTATCCTCCCAGATCTCTGTTCCAGCCTGTGGACAGCCCACTGTGGATGGAACCTGGGCAGTGGAGGAGCAATAAATCAGGAATGAGCTTGGGAAACAGGCTGGAAGGAGCTGGTGCTGCAGCGAGGGATGTGCTGGATGTCTGACCTTCCCCGTGTGGGGAAGGAGAATGCACTGCTCTGATTATAGGCACTGGGCTTGATGATTAAAACTGCATAAAACCAATCTCTTCTGCGCTTTAGGGGCTCAGCCTGAGAGCATTATTCATAAAATATCCAGTTTATAAAATCACGACTCAATTCCTATGCACTGATGTCTTTCAGCGACTGGCCCTGCAAGAGGCTCCATCGAATTCCACTGCACATAACAGAAAATCTCCTGTTTATTTCCATAGGCTTTGGATTGGGTCCTCAGACAGCAATTTGGGCACTGAGGTGAGAAGTTTGGGATGACCAGCATATCAGTTACACCAGCACCGATCTCCACTCTTTTCACCTCAGTTCCCAGACAGAATTCCAGTCCCAGTGAGCCCAGATGAGCTCCTGTGCACGGCCGAGGAGGATGCAGGTACCAAAAGGTGCATTTGAAAATGGATCTTTTCAATGCATTTCTCCAGTGTGTTATTGTTGTGTATTGATTCTTAATTTCCTTGTGGATTCTGATTTTAGTTGCTGTTCTGAGATGATGCTCTGGCTGTACCAACACCTGTTAGACCCAAATTTTAATGTGATTCAGGCAGGGGAGGCACCTTCTGCTCTACTTAGCCAGCCTTGTGTTTGCTGGGAGAAGCCAGTGGAGCGATGGGGATTTGTCCCAGAACTTTATGAAAGGCCCTTGTGATAGTAGAATCCAAGTTCCTTTTTTCCTTTCAGTATTTATTTCTCCAGCTCAGCATTTGTGGAAAACCCCTGGCCACTGGGGACTCTGTAGAGCAGCTGTGACCTCCTGTGTGACCTCCTGACAGATGGGGGGGATGAGCCTCATGTTCTTGGCACAGCAGACCCGTGCAAAGAATCACTGAATCACAGAATCCTAGGATGGTTTCTAGGGTTGGAAGGGCCCTTAAAGATTATTTCTAATACTTTTTACTGCTGGTCAGAAATTTTGTCCTACAGGAAAGTTTTGCTCTCGCCATTGCCTTGGAGCTCAGTAAAACAGGACAGGATGATTTCCCTGGTCAGGTGTGATTGCTGCTCTGGGAGTGCTTGGTGAGGCCAGGGGAGAAATGAGAAGAATACAAGTATCAGTTACAGAAAGGATGACACTGGACTCCCGTGGCAATTTCCTGTGGTAATAAGCATCCAGGAGGATATTAAAAATGTCATTTCTACTCCAAAAGTAATAATAATTGAAATAGATTCTGGCATCTTTTATAACAAGAGAGCCAACAATTATTACTGGGGATATTTTAAAAGAAAACAAACACACTCAATAATTAGTTAAGTGAATTGCCAATATGCTGATGCTGCTGAAATTAATCTGAAAAATATGAGGTTAGCAACGTGGTTTTGCACAATTACATTGGAGATAACGTGGGCTGGGTGTGTTTGGCTGGAAAGCAGACTCAGCCACGAGCCTGGTCTGTGGCCCTGCAGCACCCAGGGATCCTGGCTGGGACGTGGAGCCCTCTCCTCCAAAGGGAGCTGGGGAAGGGGCCAGGGGTGGGGGCTGTAGAGCTCCAGCCACACGTGACTGAGCCAGGTTGGGGATGCCAGCATGGTCAGGGTGAGCTCCCCCTCTGCCTGAGCTCACCTGGCTCTGGGAGCAGTGCCCTTCCTGTTCACACTTGTAAAGTCTGTCCTGCAGAAGCAGGCTGAGCTATGGATTTATTGCAACTCCTGTTTTTACAGCTGCAGAGGGAAAAAATTAACGTATATTCTTAAAAACTTTCTCCTTGTATGGGAACAGGACAAATGTGAGTCAGGAGGGCACATTTAGCCAGGAGCCTGTGCTCTGAGCTGCAGAGTCCTGTTTGGGGACA